AAGTCCAAACCTGGCAGCAAAAAGGGGGGAAGAACTGGACATCAGGTTTGATGGGTCTCTGTAAACCACATGTGTCAAACTCAAGGCCCGCGGGCCAAATCTGGCCTTTGTTAAACTTTCATCTGGCCCCTCAAAATTATATTTTAAATGTAGATTTTTTTTATCTCTTCTCATTTAGCCTAAAAACATAGAAATGCTTCATTCAGTGCAGACTTCTTATGCCAGCGGGTAAACTTTTTACCTTTTTTGTTTAAAGAAAAAACATAAGCTACCCTTCAGTAATTTTTGTTCCGATGTGGAAAGCTCAAAATAAATCAATCAAACTCTTGTTGAGGAAACTGCAATCAAGGAAAGATGTCATGTATTTGACTTGAGTTAACATATGGACTGACACTGACCCGTGAATGAGACCAAGTTTTTAATTTTGACCCCTTTTTTAAATGAGTATAACCAGAGCCCTATAAAGAGAGAGTTGCGACACTCCCATAGACTCCCATAGAAAGAATAGAATGTGGAAGTCACGTGGGTCATGCAGCGGCAAAAAGTTCCAAACAGCAGCGGTTCAGCATTGAACGTAGTTCATTCTCCGTGTTTTTCCGGTAAGTTGATGCAAATGCGACACTTTTTTGCTATTGTGAAGCGTTATCTGACTGTTCTGTACCACAATTTATCAACATTAATACTTCATGTCGCCAGTTTTAGTTAATGAAACATGTTAAATTACTAGTTGTGTTTTAACTGCAGCCGCTCTGCAGCATGACGGTTTAAACGGGTCTATTTCTAATTCAGCGTTTTAAAATATCTTTTACTGCTTAAATTTTGAAAGGTGGTCTTTTTTAAATTTATGGTAATTCGAGTTACTGAACTCAACTAGAAAATATTTGGCCTTTTTTTCCTGAGAGATTCATTCAACCTTTATTTCTACAGGTTAATCCCATTGAGCCTCGATGACTCATTTACAAGAGAGACCTGGTTTAACAAAGAATCATGACAACATGACAACAAGACTGAAGTAATTTAGTTAAAGTTATAGATCATTTGTCAAAGACTGCAGCATAAGTTGTGACATTATCATTAAAGAAAAACGTGATTGTGGAGATGAGTCAATGTTTTCATGTTTTCCAGGTAAACCAGAGGAGAATGACTTCATGAACTGAATGTTGCATTCAAAGTATCACAAAGGTACAAGATCTCATTTTCTGTCTTCTATTAATCAATAACAGCTGAATCAAGATGTTTGAATAAAATTACTTTAACACCATAACCTTCACAAAGTTGGTATTTACTGCAGGACTGTTCATTTACATTAGTTTTATATTATTAGTTTAGTGTTTGGTAATCATGGGTCAAGTTGAGATGAGACTCTTTCAAGACAGAACAAGAAATAAGAATTATTACAAGAATATATCAGCATCAATAAACTGTAGGACAGTAACAAAACACTTATTAAACTATCACAGGTACATTGAGATGGAGCTGGAAGCTCTTCTTCATGCCAGTTGTCTTCATCTGATCTTTTGTAAAAATATGTCAATTTATTTTCCATTAACATTTTTCTTCGCAGGACTGAGTTAATGTTCTTGTCTGTGAGTTTCTTCTGTCCTGATTATGTATTTTTTGTGTTCTAATTGTTCCTCAGGTTGTTCATCTCTGTTCCCTGACTGCCTGTTGCTCCATCCTCCTGGTCCTGTTGATCCATCCTCCTGGTCCTGTTGATCCGGGATCATCAGATCCTGACATGTCCCCGTCCTCTGAGGACACATTTTCATCTGTCCCTCATCTCACTCGCCTCATTTCTGTTTCTTCCTCAGTCTCTGAAATTACAACGTCACTGTTAGAATGAAGATTAATGTTCAATAAAAATATGACATGTCTTATTGTAACACTGTTCGTACCAAAGTTTAATTTAGAACAACATGTGTGATCACTGGTCAGATCACTGGTCAGTGGAAGTTCTGCTGTTCTTCTCATCTGGTTCTGGTCCATGAACAAATGGTTGAACCTCCTTCAGTCTCACTCGTCCTCACTGTGTCTCTGTGAACTGTCCTCTCTCTAAATGTGTCTGTAGAGTGACATTAAAGGGAAAGGATGCACTCACCACTCTTCGCAAGGACAAAAACATCATCATTCTCCCAGCAGACAAAGGAAGATGCAGTGATTTTGAACCAGAAAGACTATCATGAGAAAGTTATGACACTCCTTAGTGACTTAACCTCTTATGAACCTCTGAAAAGAGATCCAGGAAGTGGTTACAAGAAGAAGTTAATAGATTGCCTGAAAAAATTGGAGCAGGACAAGGCTATTGACCGTTTTCTGTACCACAGACTGTACCCAGGGGAGACCACAGCTAGTCTGTATGGTTTACCTAAAATCCACAAACAAGGTGTACCTTTAAGACCAATTGTTAGCATGATTAACTCGGTCACTTACAATGTTTCCAAATATCTGGCGTCTGTACTCATCCCTTTAGTTGGCAGCTCAGAACACCACATACAGAACACCATGGACTTTGTGGATAAGGTGAGGGATGTCATCATGGAGACTGATGAAACAATGGTCTCTTTTGATGTCACATCACTCTTTACGTGCATTCCTGTTGATGATGCAGTAGAGGTGGTCAGTTTAAGATTAAAATCAGACACCACTCTGAGCAGCAGGACCACGCTTTCCACAGAACAACTGTGTCAACTCTTGAAACTGTGCCTGCAGTCAACCTACTTCACATATGGGGAGCAATATTATAGGCAGAAACATGGGTGTGCTATGGGGTCTCCAGTTTCTCCTATTGTTGCCAACCTGTACATGGAGGAGGTAGAAAAGAGAGCCTTGACGTCCTTTTCAGGGACACCACCAAGTCATTGGTTCAGGTATGTTGACGACACCTGGGTTAAAATTAAATCTCAGGAAGTCCAACATTTTACTGACCACATCAACTCTGTGGATAAATACATCAAGTTCACACGAGAAGATGAAAAAAATGGCAAGTTGGCTTTCTTGGACTGTGAGGTCTCAGTCTCTGATAGAGGACATTTGCAAACTGAGGTGTACCGCAAACCCACCCACACAGACCAGTATTTGCAGTTTGACTCCCATCACCCTTTGGAGCACAAGTTAGGAGTCATCAGGACTCTGTATCACAGAGCAGACAGCATCCCCACTAGCTCAGGAGCCAGGCAGAAGGAGAAATCCTACACAAAACAGGCTCTAGAGCAATGTGGATATCCTAACTGGGCCTTCCTGAAAGCAGAGAAGAAACCCAAACAGGACTCCAGTCAGCCATCATGTGAAAAGGAGGAACCCAGACCCAGACCAGTGGTCATTCCGTATGTTGTGGGAGTATCAGAGAAACTGAGACGTTTGTTTTCTAAACATAATGTCCCAGTGGCTTTTAAACCCCAAAATACATTACGGCAAAGACTGGTTCATCCCAAAGATCCAGTCCCCCGGCACAAACAGAGTAATGTTGTGTATGTTGTTCAGTGTCAGGAGGGCTGTGATCAGTCTTACATCGGGGAAACAAAACAGCCACTGGGCAAAAGGATGGCCCAGCACAGAAGATCAACATCATCAGGTCAGGACTCTGCGGTCTACACTCATCTCCAGGCCAGCGGTCACTCTTTCAGGGATGAAGATGTTCACATCCTGGATAGAGAGGAACGATGGTTTGAGAGAGGAGTAAAGGAGGCCATCTTTGTGAAAAGAAATCGTCCATCATTAAACAGGGGTGGAGGCCTCTGGGTTCAACTGTCCCCCTCTTACAATGCTGTTATTGCTAGTATCACTCAGCCCTCTGTGATTAGTAAACAGCCATCAGTGTGCTAATGATCCATTGTTAGGCTGATGGTCCTTCTTGAGCATGTGATCAGCTGGTTTTGGTTGTCAGCAGCAAAACTGGTTGATCCACTCTGAGAAGGTGCTATTTAAGAGACTGAGCTGAATACAGCACCTCAGACTGAGGAAGTCTCTCGGACGAGAGACTAAACGTTTCTACATTTTTTTGTTGTTTTGCTTTGTTTTGTTTTTTGAATGTCCAGAGGACCAGATTTAACTTTTTTAGATTTCTCTACCTGGATTATTGAGCATGCATCAGGATATTTATAACAGGTGTTACTCTGATCTTTTTTTTTATTGTGTGTAACGTTATAAAACACTGACATGGCTATATTGATCACTGTATTGCATCTTTAAAAAAATTCTAACAAATATGTGTTTGCAGTCTCGTTTCCTTCTAAAATGTGATGATAAATGTATCAGCCACTTCTAAAAATGCTTTGATAAAATGCATATTCTGTGAAATAATCAGTAATCAGTTCGTTACTGCTCAATAATTACTGAAAGACGTCCGGTAAAGTAAGAAAAGTCGATTCTTGTGTTGTGTTGCGCCAGCAGCCGCTCAGACTGACTGACAGGATGAGCTGTTTGGAACTATTGGGAGCTGCATGAACCACGTGACCGCGTATCGGCGAGTTCAAAGAGTGTCGCAACTCTCTCTTTCCAGGGCTCTGAGTACAACACGCTTGCACCCTGAAGCTGTTTGCGTGAACAAATATATAACAGCAAAAGTAATTGCTGCCATCTGCTGGACGCATTTTGTCATTACAGTTTAAACAAAGAACAGAAGATGATGCCTTTAGGGGTATGGGATTTCTTACAGTTAGCGGTCAATTTACCCATTTTTTGAACATTAATGTTTGACTTTCTTGTCAAATCCGTTTTTAAACTATGTTTGGATTTTTTAAAAATATACATAAAACTCAATTTATCTTTTATTCACTTTTCATGTACAATTAAAAATCGTGCGTGATGTCGCTGCACGGCGTTGTGGGGGTTTGAACGTGTAATTTCACAGGACGGCAAAACAAAGACAGGAAAATATTTTACAAACACACTAACATCGTTTTTACTGAACAGTGGAAGTTTACCGGCTTTGGAAAGACGACTTTGAAGTGTACGCCGCACATTAACATGGGGTACCTGAACGCAGCAAGATACCCAGCAACTGTCATGGCGTCCCCCTTGAAGGGGGTTTGGTACCGCAGTCTGTAACTGCTGTCATTCTCCGTGTTGTCCCTCTGACAGGAACCAAGGCGGCCTGAAGAGGTTGTGAGGGCCGGGTGGCCATCATGGGGACCGTACATGCTAAGGTAAACCGAATGAATCACTTCCGGTGGCGTTAAGGAGCATTTCATGCTGCTTGACCTCGCTGCTCAGTCACTCGATGTGCTGCAGCAGCTTCACCTCATGACTTGATTTATTAAACTAGTGATTTAAAGCTCATTTTCTAACAACGAGGCACTGCACACGTTCAGATTCTCCAAAGACTTTCTGTTGCAGGACTAAAACCATCCTCAACATGTCAACACGAACATTTAAGTGTTTCCAGTCTAAAATACATTTCTTCCAGTTTGAAGTGTTTGTGTGGGAGGAATCAAGTCCAGCTTCTGACCCAGAGAGAAACTCAAACATTTTAAAAACAATATCAACAGAGAAACACTGCTGGTAAAGTCATAGTTTGGCCACTTGGGGTTCTGTGGAAACTTCATGAATAGTTGATATCTTACCTGTCGTAGATCGCTCTTTGACGGCTTCAGTTTAAATGAAGACTTTAATTGTGTCAGGCTTCCACTATTTTAAAGTCATTGTGGCTTAGAGAAGGTGGGCCTGTCTTTGGAATGTTGCTGGTTCAACTCCCAGACATCAAAATGTGGGTGGGATAGGTGAAGCACCCACGCCTGCCTCCACCCTCATTTGTCCCACTCTGGGCCCTTGAGCAAGGCCTTAACCCCCAGCGGCTCCCCCTGTGCACTGATGCAGCTCTGCTCCACACAGAGGTGTGCTTGTGTCAGGAAGGAGGTCCGGTGTAAAAATAGTGGGGGCGACGTACTTCTCTGTGGTGAGCCCTGAAGAAGGAGCAGCCGAAAGAAAACAACGATTCTATCAACTAACTTTTTTCAATAAATCTAAATAAAACATCAATGTCTGTCCATATATGAATACAAATACTTTTTAACAAAATTCAAACCTCCATATAAGGCTGGGGTTACCACTGCAAAGCCTACTACAACTTGCCTTTTTATTTATTTACGTGTTGAATTTTACTAAGACTTTAAAATGTTTCTGCAGAGTCTGGATCCACTCCCGATGCATGGCAGAGATTTGAGTGTGAACCCTGAAGACCTGATCCAGCTTCCAGAACAAGAACAAGAATCCAAGCAGGAGATTTTAGAAAACAAAGATGTGAGTAGTAGTGATGTTACTTGGTACCACATGTTAAATACTGTAATGTAGCGTCGTTTCTGGTCTGTACGCTGTAGAGCTGTGAATCTCTGTGTCTGGGGATTCGATTCTGATTTTTGGAGTCACAATTTGATTCAAAAAATGAAGATTTTCTATTGAAACGTTATTAATTTTGTTTCAATTATGTAACTGACAAGATGAAGACTAAACAACAATGTAAAACATTTATTTAAAACAATAATTTTAGGTTATGTACTGTATCAAATCTTTTTAATTTATACCAAAATCAGGAACAAAATATAGGAGTGCATAAAATTCTGTAACTTAAATTATCAGTATTGGGTGAGATTAGCTGTCTGAATTTTTCTAAAATAAAATAAAAAATCTAGGAACAAATCATCCATACACACACACCCGCCCATATCAGCCATCACTGTGTGAGAGGCGGGGGACACCTGGACAGGTCTCCAGTCCATCACAGATAAATAATTCAAAATATATAAATATAAAAGTAAACAGACTTCAGCCTACCATAGTACATTAACCTTTAACTTAAAATAAAATACAGACTTCAGTTATTTTTCATTCAATTCAATTTAAAAATACTTTATTAATCCCAAAGGGAAATTATTTGTTGTTGTAACTCATTATCCTCATTTCATTAAGAGATGTTATAGATGCTGATGGCTGTAGGCAGGAAGGATCTCTTGTAAAGGTTCATCCCACAGAGGATCCTAAGAAACTGGCTGCAGATGCCGTCCGATCCGTCCACCCAGACTCGGGTGACCTCTCAGTTCCCCTCAGGCTGTAGAACCGCCCAAATGCTGGACAGAACTCCTCCCAGAGTGATGGCCACTCCTCCCAGCAGCTGCCGAGCTCCTCGTCACTGCGGACAGTCAACTGTAGGTGCCGAGGGACGATCGTGTCCTTCCACTGTCATGAGCCGTGTTTCCTGCTAGTTCCAGGATCTCAGTGGTCAGGCACTTGAGCGCAGCTGGCAGGTAGATGAGAATGCATCCACAGAACATTCTTTCAACTCATTTGAGATTTGAGGCTGTAGTTGAGATATTATTTGAGCTTTTGAGATGTTATTCAGCTGCTGTTGTAGAAAACTGCCTTGTTGCCATGGTTACACATCAGAACAAATGTCCAAAACTAAAAAAAGTTTCAGTAAAAATCCTTCCAGCTGCACAGCATCTGATACCAGAGGAAACAATCATCCAAAAAATGTGATTTACATCCAGAAAAAGAGGAATTAAAGTTTCCAAAAGCAAAATCTCAGAATGAAAGTAAGAGAGCTGCTCCAACATGCAGCCACCTGGAGCGGCACAATTCTAGAACTGTTTTTAACCATATTGCTCCAACATTTGTTATATTTTCAAAACTTAACCTAATATGAAATATACAGAGTTCAGTTTTAACCATATTGATTCATATTAGGTAAATCTTTAACAAAATTTCAAAACCTGCACAAAAACCTCTTCTGAACTGCAATAATTTATAAACCATAAACTGTATCATTTAGAAGTGGCTCCAGGAGATGTGTCTCATCTGTCCTCTTCAACCTGTTAAAAAGACAAATTACATAAAGTTTGTTGTATAACTTGTCTATAAGTTTTAGTATAATATGATAAAAACAGTTACCTTTGATCTGCAGCTGCATCAGAGCTTCTCCCGTTTGTTGTTTCATGGTGAAGTTGTGCTGCTGCTTTATCGCAAAATAGACAAAAAATCTACGTGAAGGAATAACGTACGTTGGATCCAGCGAATTAAAAATAAACCTGAACCCGTCACCTCCACTGAGCTGTCTGATCATAAATCCTTTGTGATGCAGCAGGAGATGGAGAGGGAACTCTTCACAGCCTTTAGAGAAGCAGCTGGAAGTTTGTTGCAGAGTTCACTGGTCGGCTGCTTCACTTTCATCTTCCGCACATTTCGTCGTATTTCCAAAATACTGCCCCGCTATTTTATTTTACACTTCTTGCAAACAACCGTGCTCTTGTGAAGCTTTGTCTTCCCCCGGGACATTGTAGGATCTGAAATGACTTTTAAAGACGAAGCAGTGGGTTGAATCGCGCTGTCTCCCTCCTCCATGCTAGCAGGCTCTATTCAAGCTGGCTAACTAGCTGCTGTACGGTGGCCTACATGGCTCAATTGTACAGTAACAGGTGGACATATAATGTGATACACGCGGGAGCAGGAGCGGAGAAAAAAAACAAACAAATCCATTTTAAAATCCATTTTGGGGCCTTTAAAATCGATTCAGAATCGTCAGGACTAAGAATCTTGATTCTTTAATAAAACAAGTTTTTTCTGCACTCCTAAAAAGCCGCTACTCTTTTCATGAATTTAAACCCCACGGCTTATACAGTGCTGCAGCTAATTTATGGATTCATTTTTATTTATTTTTTTGACGGGCTAATGAGCTTCATGCCGCCAAAAACATTTAACTTCGTCACACCCTGGTGCTCACAGAGCTGCCCAGTACGCATCTCTCTTGTGGGGGTGGGGGGGGGGGGTGTCTTTGTGACTCAATAGCTTTGTTTATATGGACATAAGTAATCATATTAAACGGCCATTCAGAATTAAAATGCGTCATGTACACGCCTTATTTGGATTATTCTTTGTTGCTTCAGATCGATCTAAAAGAATTTGTAATCAGAATGAGACGAGTGGTTTATGCCAATTCATAATCTGAACATGTGCCTGTAAACACTTCATCAGATCATTTTATTCTGATTGTGAAAAACTGACCTGACTGCGCATGTGCGACCTATGTCTACATCACGTCTTTCCGCCTGGCTAATGCTAATAATATTAGCATGTCGGGGAAGCAAAACTGGTCAGTGAAACTTTGAAAGAGCTCAGAGTGATCTGTATCACCTGTAGCTCAGTCAGGGAATGCAGCAACGTCTCCACCGTCATTAAAACCTGTCACGGTCCATTTTGAGCATCAGGTTTGATTCTGTTCATCTCAGAAGAAGAACTTCTTCTTCTGTGTTTTTTTAAGGCGAGTTTACCACTCTGCGCACGTCAGTACTTCTATTCAGAATAAAAGTGTGCTGCATGTAAACGCTCGTCGTGAACAGATTGTGCTCATGTAAACAATACATGTGGATTATTTAATCTGAATACATTTCAATCCGGTCAAAGAATTTTGCGCATGTAAACAGCTAATGAGACTAACCTGTATAAATAAAGGTTAAAAAAATGTGACCAATGAAACGGGGAGCGGAGGAGAGATGGGGCAGAGGGGCATATCAGAGAGTCAGAGTCAGAGTCAGAGTTTCTTTATTGTCATTCGCACCTCATGTGGTTATGAAATTATGTACACAGGGTCCCAGTTACATCCAACAATAAAATGTATAAGAAAAACAGTAATAACATCTAAGATATGAACTAAGAAAAACATAAACTAAATATACACTAAGCACTCATAACATAAAACATTGAACATCAGCACAAACATGAACATGAGTCTGTGAGCAGATGTGCACGCATGAACACATCAACATTGAAACAGATCAGCAGCAACATGAAACAGATCAGCTGCAACATGATATGGTTTTCATATCATGTGAGTCTTTCATTCTCGCAGAGCAATTTTGCTCCAGAGCACAAGCTCGTGACTCAAACAGACTCCCGTCATGTGCAGAAATATTCAAATGACTCTGCAGTGGTCGGGTGTATCAGAGATGGACAAGAAGCTGAGTACAGGGAACTGGTGGACCACTTTGTGGCATGGTGTGGAAACAATCATCTCATCTTGAATGTGAACAAAACAAAGGAGATGATTGTAGATTTCAGGAGAAACAGGAACAGGTCCAACCCTATTTCCATCATGGGAGAAGAAGTGGAGGTGGTGGAGAAATATAAATACCTTGGGGTTCACCTGGACAACAGACTGGACTGGAGATGCAACAGTGAAGCGTCTACAAGAAGGGACAGAGCAGACTGTACTTCTTGAGGAAGCTGAAGTCCTTCAATGTTTGCAGCAAGATGCTGCATATCTTCTATAAGTCTGTTGTAGAGAGCGCTGTCTCTTCTGCCATCATCTGCTGGGGTAGCAGCACCAGAGCAAGTGACTTAAAAAAGATCAACAAGCTCATAAAGAAGGCTGGCTCAGTTCTGGGGACTCCTCTAGAACCTTTGGAGATGATTGTACAAAGAAAGATTCTTCATAAAATGAAGAACATTATAGACAACCCTCAGCATCCTCTTCATCAGACTGTCATACAACAACAAAGTGTCTTCAGTCAGAGGCTTCTTCAGATCCTTCCTGCCCACAGCCATCAGCTTCTAGAACAACTATTTAATGAAACCAGTATGATGACTTACAACATTTAATTTCCCTCAGGGATTAATAAAGTATTTTTGAAATGGATTGAATTGAAGCTTGCAGTAGGAGGAGTACAGTGATCCATGACTTCCTGGCAGGCTACTATATACAAACTGGATTCCAAAAAAGTTGGGACACTAAACAAATTGTGAATAAAAACTG